AATAAAGAGGAGCAAGCATATTTTTAATTTTATTTTATATTAAAATTCATATTTATAATAGATATATCTCTCAAAAATTAAATTATTGATCTCAATCTTCAAATTTGCCGAATATTTGAAGAGAATGTTGCAAAAGCGTCCTTTAATATCTCGATTAAATTTCTTTACCAGAGGGATACGATCCCAAAACGAGAAACAGCCGTCCATTCAGATACCGGTAATGAACTCCTCAGGGTCCTCGGTGAGGCTTTTTTTTTCTGAGTACCTGCGAAGGGCCGCGAGCGGGTCGCCAACCTCTTTCGGACTGACACCTTGAATAGTGTTAGTTCTAACGCCTATGGTTGATCCGCGCGCCGGGGCCACTAAGACGTCTGTGGAGAACCCACCGACGCCCATGGATCGCCGAGTTTCGCAAATTCGGTTCATTTGCCACATTGTGCGCGGCTTAAGTGAGACATGAAATCCACTCGACGAGGAGGAGCGGAGATCGTTCGAATGGTGAGACAGAAACCGAAGGATCTTGGCAAAGAACGTTGAAGTTTACCGACGAGCGCATCCCGATCACGAACAGGATACGGCATTTAATAGATAAGAAGATAAATGTACAGATAGATGATTTTCAGAGGGGTAATCTTCTGAAAAAGCACGCAATACAATTTGATAGAAATTCTTAAAAATGGAATATTTGGCTTATCTTAATTTGGATCATACACACAGAAAAATACATACTATATACAAGTAAATATTACTTGTTTCAAGTATTTCATAAGTTCATATATCCGCAAATCTATCATAAGTTCATCATAAGCATCAAATTTATTCAAAATATATTCTGAATCCTAATAAATTTAATACTTCAATCAAGAATATTAAATTATATAATTGAAAGAAATACATTAAATTTTTCTGATCTAATAAATTTTCTTACATTAAATTAACCATATCTGACTTTTCTTCGATAAAATTTTATAATATTCTTCAAAAAAAAATATTTACTTGTTTGGAGTACATGATAATGAGTATAAAAAAAAAATATATATATATATATATAATCTTGATATATCAATTATATTATTATAAATTTTTTCAGGAAGCCCTATCAAGGTAAACAAAGAAATATCGCAATATAATAGAATTAAAAGCGTCGACCGAGGGTGTAACGCATTGTTTATGACGATCAGGAAATAACGATCGTTAATGACACACTCCGGGATATGTGTGTTTTTTCTACTCTTTCCTAGATCGGCCATCGCGCAGGTACAATTACGATCGTTATCGTGCACGCGGGAGGACAATGAGCAGGACGGGAATATCGCGTGTGATTTATAATGTGGTCGATCGAAGAGCGACTCCATCGTTCGTACGGAGGAGGATATCCGCGCATAATGTTTGTCGCGATTCGATTCATTAATCATCCACGCATTTTAGCAAGTCACTACGCGAGACAGTAAACATTGTATAAATTAAATGACACGCCGCATACATGCTTTATTGTGATCCAGAAACCTCCTTGCGACGATTTTAATTTAGTTACGATCAAATTGCAGTTTTTCTCGCACACAGACACACACATCAATCGTAGTTATAAATTGAATTATAAAATTATTATTTTCGAAAGGACAGAGATCAGAAGCTAAGAATATAAGTTTCAAATAGAACAAGACACATATATGTAAGCAGTCTTTTTTCAATTTAATAAACTACAAAACACAAACGTAATCCGGAAGAGATAAATATATGCGAGCAAATTTTATAATTATGTGTTCTATGAAGCTCTTTCTCTGTAGCTTTTTATAAATTTAATATTGCAATATTGCAACTCGCAATTTAAATATTATTTAAACGTATCAAGGCTCAAGATAACGAAACATTCCCAGAAAAAGATTTATCCACCATTCCGCGATCCAGGGATAAAAACAGGCAATTAGTTTTATGTCGATATTAAATACGTCTCTTTCACAAAATACCGTGCAGGTTTATAATAAAAAATTTCGTTCCAAGTTAAGCTGAGATTCATAAACAATAAACATATGCAGTCTATCTCTGTAAAAGGAAACGACGCGATATTAAATATCTCTGTAAAAGGCAACGACGCGATATTAAAAATCGCCGAAAGTGTCAAAACTTGATTTCGCCCTTCAAATCGAGAATTACTTCCTAAAAAATCCTCTAACGCTGAAAAATGCTAGGGCCAGGGAACGGGCGCAGGGGAGGGGGTGGTGGAATGGGGACCGGGTGCCTTGCCGAGCAGTTATTAGTTTTGCCAGTCGGGGGGCTTAAGTTTTAAGCCGGAAATCAATGCACCCGACCGGACGGATTTGTAAGCTTTCTCCTATGACGGTTTTAACGAGTGCGAGTCATGCAAAAGTGACGCCGCGCACCGCGTTTCTAAAAAAAATCTTTGCGCGCTTTCCGGTTGTATCCATCAGATTCGCATACTGCGTATCATACACATATACATTCGTTGTTCAATTATGCGATCCGTCCGGATTTGTACTAAAGACAATTTTACCTCGTTTAAAACGAAAAGCTACCAGCAAGAAGAGATCTCTCGCTTCTCCTTTCGTAAAATAGTATAATTATGTCAAACCATTTATGGACACGGTCAGCTTTTATGGCGAATCAATGCGCTCGCTCGCACGCGCGTCGCAGGTCTCGGATTTTTTAGGTGACGCGGCGCTATTATTTCAAAGGATAACTTTGTTCTTTAACCCTCAGTCATTTGCGATAAACGATAAAAGCGTGAAAATTGCAAATTACGCCGACACCCGCTTTGACGTTAATTGCATGGCAGAAAAAATATGTCCGCTGCCATATTTTCATTAAATGGCGTTCATACGTTGTTAATATGACGTTATAGTTTCATTTTCGCCCAGATGAGATTTGCTACATTTAAAATTATATTTTTAATCTATATACTTGCATGTGTGTGTGTATGAAAAAGAATCAAATGTGTGCGCGCGTATAGCGAAATACGTAGCTAGTGAATTGAAAAGCACAATGAAATATAAACGCATCTTGATAAATCCTTAATAAAGATCTTCTGCTTTTATTAATGCTTTTATTGTGCCTTTATTTAATTTTAATTTTTCATAGAATTTAATTTTTTTCTTTTTCTCATGTAATATTTGTAATTTGTTTATTTTATCATTTTTTTAGTTGCGTTTACTGTTTCGCGCGTGAATAAACGTGTGAAAATTATAAAACAATCCATCATTAAAATTAAGATCGCAAATTTTCGAGCGCTTTCTGCTATCATTTCAAAAAATTCCGGCATCTGTGTATTGAAACTGTTTTATATCTTGTACATTTTGCTAATTGCTACTCAGTCGAAAATCCCTCTTGGATCAACGAATAAAATGTATCTCCCAACTATCGATCAGATCGGACAAAGCCGCAACTCCTTCCCCTCGCGCTTCTGAACGAGTAACCCGTAACTTAGTAATTTAATCAAGACGACGAGTCCGTCGCCGAGAGGTTTGACCAAACAGAGAGCTGCAGTGGTGACAGATATATTAGGTACGATTCAATAGAGACGTCTGCATTGCATTATTCGACGGGTAGATCTCTACGACAAACACAACATCAACTTTTCCCATGCCGTTTCCCGTCCAACGACAGAGGTTCTCAATGAGACGAGGGGTGTTCGGCGGTGTGTTTGTCTCGCAACCCAGCAGGCTCGTTCCCTTTAAATAAACCTACCGCGTCGTAAGAGAAATCGTTGACTTCGCGCGCGGGGTATCCGGGATCCTGATAAGCTCCCGTTATTGAATTTCGCCATTGAATTCGCGATCTCGCGGGAACGTCCTTTTGCCAGCGAGCGCCGTTATAAGAAGGAATATAGAAATTCACACGAATTTTATTTCCTCCCCTGCTTCTCTATCATTCAAGAATATTCTCCGATTTTTAAATATCGTGATTCCAATAATAATTACGATATTGATGATAAATAAAAATATAAAATGAGCAGATTTGCGGGAAAAGGTAATAATATAATTTTATTTATTTCTTCTTATTAATCACACAAATAAAACTTTTGTGATGTTGTGTGCAAGGAAGATATATATACATATAATACTCTCCTTCGAAGCTTCAGTACTCTTTGCGACGTAATGCTTGCACGGGCGGCAAGTCCGGCAAGTAACGTAAATTTGCATGGGAAAACGTGAGGCGCGGCACACATATGCATATCTCTGTCGCAAATTGTACGTATGTAGAGTATAACGGCGTAAGTGAAAACACGACGAAAATGGGAAGCGCTGAACTGGTATAAACAAGGGTCGCATGCAATATTAGGGGCATTAAGTCGCCATAAAGAGCGCATTAGGGGCGCGCCCCGTGCCCTCGAGGGGTAGTTTAGCGTTTAATTGTCCCACCCTGTGTATCAAAGGTTTCGATTTCTGCTCGACTACGCGATTTATAAATCCACGTATGTATGCTCGCATACGTTTCGCACGTAATTTATACGCATCTCGTCGTTATTGTACATATACGCAAGCACTTATGATCATGCGCCCGTTAATACATCCATCGTTAATAAGATGAGATCGTTAAATGATTAATTCGTCCTACGTGTACGAGGCTTGCTCAAATTGCACGCAGACTTTGTGAAGGACATCAAACGGGTATAATAGCACGCTAAATTGTCCTTTATTATTATCTGCACGCGAATTGTTTCTTTAAATTGTCACACGATACAGTATTGAAAAAATCATTAGACTTTCTTGCGGTATTTGTGAACATTGAGACATCATATATACATATAATCGTTAGCTTAAAATCTTATATATCTTCTTTTATTAATAAAATAAATTAATATATATATATATGTAAATATATAAAAGAAAAAAATATATTTAATATTTTTGAAGTTGGAAATTGAAAATAATAAGTTGGAAGTTGAAAATAATAACCAATAAGTATTTATGCGAGAGAATAATTTTGTGAAGTCATATAGAAAGATATTTTTCCATTCTTTTTTAAAGTTTTGTTAAGAAATTGGAACATTATTTGTATGATTTCAGATTGCTGACGAAGAAGATTATTTCTTATAGATGAAGACAAAAATATTATGTGTAGATAAATCCTTTAAGTAATACATTACCTGTCGAATATGGATGATGAAGAAGGAACCTCAAGTTCTGGACCTATGTCTTCGTTGAACAGTTTATTCTCGTTTACCAGCCCCGCTGTGAAAAAATTGCTTGGATGGAAACAAGGGGACGAAGAAGAGAAATGGGCGGAGAAAGCGGTTGATTCGTTAGTGAAAAAACTGAAGAAGCGCAAAGGAGCGATCGAAGAACTAGAGCGAGCATTGAGCTGTCCCGGCACACCAAGCAAATGCGTAACAATTCCTCGAAGTTTAGATGGTAGATTACAGGTTTCCCACCGTAAAGGCTTGCCACATGTGATATACTGCAGAGTCTGGCGATGGCCAGATCTTCAGTCGCACCATGAACTAAAACCATTGGAATTATGTCAATATCCATTCTCCGCCAAACAGAAGGAAGTTTGTATTAACCCCTATCATTATAAAAGAGTGGAGAGCCCAGTGCTGCCGCCGGTATTGGTTCCTAGACACTCAGAATATGCTCCTGGCCATTCTCTGTTGCCTTTTCAACAATTGGCCGATCCAAGCATGCCACACAATGTGTCCTACTCATCTAGTGGCTTCAACGCTAGCTCTACAGGCGGCGTCAATCCGACATCACCCATGTCTTCTGTCGGTTCCGTGCCAAGCCCAGGGAGTGCAACCTTACCGAATCCTCAAAGCCCGTATGGTACTAATGGATTACCAGAGACGCCACCGCCGGCATACTCTCCGCCTGAGGATGGCTCACAAACCGGACAAACCTCGTCATCAGATTCGGTTCCAATGGATACGAGCGCGCCCATCGAATCAGCTACACCTGTGTGTTATCAAGAACCACCCTATTGGGCCTCGATTGCTTACTACGAGCTAAATTGCCGAGTGGGCGAGGTATTTCATTGTCAGACGCATTCGGTGGTTATTGACGGCTTCACAAACCCGAGCAATAACTCCGATCGCTTCTGCCTTGGACAACTGTCCAATGTAAATCGAAATTCCACAATAGAAAATACAAGGCGACACATAGGCAAAGGAGTGCATTTGTACTACGTGGGAGGCGAGGTTTATGCCGAATGTCTCTCAGACTCGGCAATATTTGTACAATCTAGGAATTGTAATCACCATCATGGATTTCATCCCAGCACAGTTTGTAAAATTCCACCAGGATGCTCGTTAAAGATATTCAACAATCAGGAATTTGCTCAGCTTCTCTCGCAAAGTGTAAATCATGGTTTCGAAGCTGTCTATGAGCTAACAAAGATGTGCACGATTAGGTAATTTGCAATAATTTAATGCAGTATGAAAAATTGCAATAATATACATAATTCAGGTAAGTAAGTAAAAACTTCTTTGTTTACAGAATGTCATTTGTGAAGGGATGGGGTGCTGAATATCATAGACAGGATGTTACATCAACCCCTTGCTGGATTGAAGCACATTTGCATGGACCTTTGCAATGGTTAGACAAAGTGTTAACACAAATGGGTCCGCCCCATAATGCCAATTATATTAATATAATAAAGTTAAGATATTATTGTCATTTTATTACAGATTCTTTTAGAAAGAATTTATTAAAGGAAAGCGTAGATGTATGCTTCTCGACGATGCACAACCAAGATTCGCGCGGTTTGCGGCGATGACGAAGCGCGTGCATACACGCGCATACATTGTACATACACACGCTACGGATACCGGCTACGACTACACCCGCATGTATACATTATACGGCGGGGGTAGCCGAAACGTATAAGAGGAACAGGCGAATACCCAAGTTGCTATTGAACCGATTTTGAGCAAATATCACTCGAGGCGGGTCGGGGAGATTCGCGATGCCGGATAGAGTGACGGCGCAAGTGGCGAGGAGGAGGAGGAGGAGAGGGACCGGGGACGAGGAGGTAAAGGAGCAACGTGGGGATTCGAGCGGGGCAAGGAAGGGAATGGGAACATGGGAGGATGGGGAGGAGAGGGTGAGATCGAGGCGGAGAGGCAGAGACAGGAGCCGAGAGAGCTCGCAAGCCCTTCGGCAAATTTCATAACCGAACTTGTCGTATTTGCCCAGATTATTTCAATATATTCGACTCAAGCTGGGAATCTGTTTGCGAGACGAGTGTATGCGTGAATGGAACTTGCCGCCGCGGTCGCGGCTCGCTCGCGCGCTCGCGCGCGCGCGCGCGCGCATACATATATGTGCATGTGTCGCGGCATCTGCATGTCGGACGCGTATAGATGATGGGAATGGACGCGAGGATGTGTGTGCACACGACCCTGCATACGATCGTGCGACGGATCGTGTAAACGCGTCGTCGGCGCTTGCTTTTTCCGCGGGTAAGCGCAAAGTGACGAGAACGTCGCGTAAAAAAAAAAAAAAAGAGCGCGCCTACTCGCGCCGGTTGGCCTACGCTCGTTTCGCATGAGGAAACGTCGGGATGAAAAGTCTCGCGGCGATGTTTCGAGCAAACCGCAGATTTTCCACGCCTCGGATACGATAAGCAAAACCGGTACTTGTGTACGGAGTTCTCGCGATCGCGAGAATCGCGGTATCTTTGAGTGCCAGAATATAGTTCCTCCGATAAAACATGAAAGATATTTACGATTGCGTAATAGAGTAAATCAGATACATCTCGGTGGCGATTGAAGACTTAGCCTACGTTGCAATTATACATTAAAGAATAAAACATAATTTATTTACATATATAATAACATTCTTCACACACATACATACACACACATTTAAAAATGACATTTTTAACAAGCGTACGTATTATCACAATACATCGGTAACTTATATTTTTAATGAAAAAAATATCGTAAGTTTCAGGAATCAAAGAAAAGTATTTTCTATATTTAAATATTATGCGATTTTTCGAACGATAAATTGATTCCTCTAATGGATCGTTTCTGCGGAGAATAACGATCCGTTTCTAAGGCTCGTGATTCAGAGTGATAGATTTCACTCGTCCGTCAAATTGGCAGGAAGCGAAGCGTCGATTAATACGCGCGACGGGTCTCATAAAGTCGTGCTAATTAAATAAAAGGACGAGGCCGACGTGGAAAACGGAGGAGAGCGCCGTCCGCAGCCACGTGTCGCCACGTGCTTTCGTCGGGCCGGCTCACGTTCCGGCAATGCTTTAGCATAATGTATTATTAGCTCGTGGAAAGCATCATATTAGTCCAATGCCGTGAACGGGATTCGGGAATCAATTAAATAACAATGCCAGCTCGTTAATCTATCCGCGAGACCGCAGGCTGCGGCTCGGAGCGATTCGACCAATTCTCGCGGGGTTCCTCCGTGTTTTCCGACGAGCATTGCATATTGTAACTATATTTTGAAGGCATAATTACTATATTTCTTGTTAAAGCGAAAAAAATTAATATTAATAAAATTTACAAATTTATATAATATCACGATATATAATTAACAACAAATTAATAAATAAATTATCCATGGATTATGCATATATTTAAATATCCAATATTTAAAATATGAAAGTGAAAAGTTATAAGTAGATAATTGTCTATAAGACAGATATGTAAATGCATAGATGATAATGCAATTATATAGAGTGATTATATAAATAATTATATAAACTAATTTAATTTTTGTGCAACTAATGCAGTATAATTATCACTTTCTCTGCGTTTTTTTTTTTTTTTAGTTTTTCCTAATTTAGCTTTATATAAATCTTCGTCGAAAGATCAAATAATGCTCACTCCCATTTAAAGTGTTGAAAAGTTGTTGTGTGTGTATGTTTCGGAACCAGTTTTGATAGATACAAAAAAACGTAGGAAAGATAATAATTGTGCTGATAGACCAGCGTGATTCGAATTGGATTCTCTCTCTTTCTTCCTCTCTCTAGACTACACACTAGGAGGATAAGCAGGATTTGAGGATCGTAGACTTCCATTGTTTCATTCGATTTACACCCGTTCTCTGTACCCGTAATACAGAACCTGCAATTTACAGGAGAATGAAAAGTTAAGCCCGTGCAGGGAGGCTCAGGGGTGGCGTGCAGACAATAGGCCCTGGCTTTAAAATCTCTACGGCAAACAAATGGGAAAGCCCGGATCAAAACGTAATTGAGATATTGAGATCTGATTAAGATGAAATCAATAACACGTCCGATGCCGTCGTGCAGTTTTCCTCGTCCTATAATTCAGTCCTTGGCGCGAAGGAGATACGATCGCGTTTAAAACTGTCACGACAGAATTATTTAAGTATATCTAAATCATAAAAATCGATAATTAAATATCATGATTATAAGTTAATATAAAGTTTTAAAGAAAGAAATAGATATTAAAGATTATACTTGTTGTAAATATAAATCATGATATAAAAGCTGACATAAATGATAATAATTTGCTATTAAATATGTTGCTATTTCTAGAATCTAATATTATTGGAATTTCCATCTACTTTTACTACATTTGATTAAACGCGTTATATATATATACCTATATAATAATAAAATATTATTATCGATAAAATAAAATAAAATTCGTACTGTCAAGAGAAAAAAAAGAGTTTAGAATGCAATTAAATAAGAACAATATTTTACAACATTAAATTTGTTAATCGTGCTAGAAGCTCAATCGCAATCATATATCCGGATATTAATTTTTATCTCCACATTTTGGGCCTGTCAGACACGTCGAGTATCCAGAAGCACTGGATAGCCTAGTAGCGTGTGGCCCGCGCACCAGAAGCAGTCTCGTAAACTTGTAAGCTTACACCTCTCTCTCTTTCTCTCTCTTTCTATCTCTCTGGGACACCCGCCCTCCATGGGACCGGAGAAAAAATCACAATAAAAGATACTTCTGTGGCCAAACACGGCCACGAGATTATTATTCGGCGCGGCGCTATATAAATGGTGTACCGGGTGTCCGCATCTGCCTGCGGTCGCCGCGGGAGGTCGGCGGAGACTATTCTCGATGGAAAAACCGGGGGCTCTCGAGAAAGAGAGAGAGAAAGAGTCTCTCCTTCGGGGTCCTCGGGACCGCTTCCGTGCGGCCGAATTCGTTGTGTAGCCATATCCGGGATAGGTATTGCATCGAGCCCGAGTACGTAGCCAATGGGCTATTCGGTCTCGCCCTTAGACGACCAATAGTCTGGTCGTTACTGTCGTCGTATACCGCGCATACCCCATCGCGTTTAATCGTGTAACCGACCCCCTTTGTCGCGGCTTTTCACACCGAGAGACGCGCGCGTTACACACTGCGACGACGAGGCGGCGACGCGCTTCTCCTTTTTTTCCGTACCGACCCGCTAATTATCCACCGAAATCCCCTTAAACGGCCATTAAACCCACCCTTCCGAATGCCGGCCGTGAAAGCACTTTAGGGCTAAACGGATACGACGGCGGCGACGACGGCTGGCATCAACTCCTTGCCTTCTTTCGGATTGCGAGAAAGGTTTGATAATCACCTTCTTGGGCCTTCACCGCCCGAGATTCCTTTGTGACATGCGATGACGTGGTTCCCGAATCTAAAATTAATGACCGGGATAAGTAGTATGTGGACACAAATGTAGCAACCTTAGCTGCAAATTTAAAACATGATCACATTATTTTTCAGATTGAAAAAAATATCTCATAAAATGTAAGAGATGTGCGATTTATATTTTATATAAACATTGATGAAAATTTAAATTTATTGTTTATTTTCTTAGATAAGTTAATTAATCTCTTATAAGATAAGCTTTATTTTATTTTATTATATAT